TAGACTCTGAAGTTATGAGGCTGTGACGGCGTCCTCAGATCAGATGCACACAGAACCAGGACTGACGAGGAAGAAATGAGCAGCTTCTTCTCTCCCAGTGTTTCCTCCACACATGAAGGTGCAAAGTGTCTGTAAGTCGACCTGAAGTGAGTTCAGCAGGTGAGAATCCGACCAGAGGAATCTGTAAATGTCTGATAATCAGGATCACTTGATCACATTGTGCTGGATCACTGTTTAACTGGACAGTAGAATGCTTCTTGATGCTGATTGGCTGTTTCTAAATATCTCTTTGAAATCTGCTGTAGAATTTCTCTCCGAGTTAAAGAACAATGATTTCAGAAAGATTTCCCTGTAATATTGTTCATGTTCTCAAGTAGAATCAGCAGCAGTCTGATTGTAGTCTGAGCTCACATCATCAGTGAAACATGCAGGGTGTCTGAACTGGTCTGACAGCTTGGATCCACTTGGCTCAGGTTTCTGGTTTAACTGTTAATACTCTGAAGTTAAGTGCTGGATGAAGAGTTCAGGGCTCAAATACAGACTCTCCAACACTGAGACGGACTTGGTTTCACTGAAGACCCTTTAGAACAGTCCAGGGGCCTCATGTATAAAAGCCATCTGTCAGCCATCGGCGATGGCATTGTGATTGTAAAACCCCGTCCCCCGTCAAAAAAAATCTAAATTTTCACATTATACCGCTATGTGAAAGCAGGTTTTAATCACAACGAACATATTATTAAAGAGGCCTACACCTCAGGTAAACACACCGGCTAATACCGGGGAAAGGCAGCCTGCAGTTGGCACTTGGCTTATTTTATTTCTTTTCCAACTGAAAGGTGCAGTATGGAATAGTTATGGCTGACTAGTGCGAGCACAAATACACTGCTGGTTTGAATGTTTACATGATAAAGTGGTAACATGTGAAATGAAGTGAAATTAAATATGTGAAAGTCATCATGATCTATTTTTCTCACATTCAATTTTATTTGATATTAAACCACTACATACATGATCAAACCTTTGTCAAAGACATAATTAGGATTTTGATAGACTACTCCATTGACATCTGCACAGTAATTGCAGTGGAAAACACTATTTTGAACATTTGGTGAGTTTTGGCACTTTAGCAGTTTACTGACAGCCAGACAAAAGTTTGTGGAGGGACTTCACATTCTCACATCACGTTCATTTTATACATCCCACGTGTGCGTGAAACCAGCGTACGTAACCTTTTTATACGTAGGCAGCGTTTATACATGAGGCCCCAGGTCTCAGCTGTACCAGAGGCTCCAGGATCCTTTCTAGATGGACCAGAGCCAGCCCAGGGTGGAGGGGAACTTAGAGGTTGATTAGGGCCCCTCAGCCATCAGGGCCCTCACAGGAATAGAAAGGACCAAAGTAAAATCAGCCATCCTGTGTCTCTCTGGTCATGATTTAAACATTTAAAGACAGAAATAAAGATTTAAAGACACAGACCTTGAGGAGAACTAAAGTGTCCTGAGATGTAAAGCTTGTTGTAATGAATGAGTGCAGCTCTCTCAGCATGTTGTTGTGTTTGTGTGAAGGTGTGGGCTCTGCTATGAATCAGTGTGAGGACAGAGAGGAGGGAGTCCCTCCCTCTAAAAGCACTCTGTGGGGAACATGACAGCCAGACCAAAGCTCAGAGGTGAGATGAGGATCTCTAACTGTCCAGGACTCAAATCACTCCACCATCATTATTCACTCTCAAAGCTCTGTGTGTGTTGTGTTGAAGCCCAGAGCAGCAGCAGGGACCAGACTCTGCTGGACCTGGACCTGGACCTGGACCTGGACCCAGCGTCTCTGTCCGTCAAGAGCCGGTCTGCTGGACCTGGACTGACTGGAGGTGGTCCATCAAGATGACCGGTCTAGGGCAAACTTATTTTCAAAGGTGGACACCACTCTGCTGATCAAAGGTCAGCATGTTAAATGTTTGTGTCTCTCCTGAGATGAGGTTTGGTGTCTTTGTTTTGATCACTTCATGTTCTTAACTCTTCACTTTTTTCAAACTGGTCTCACATTTTGCAGATCTTAGTCCAAATATCAAAACCACGTTAAAATCCACAAACAGCTGGATGCAGGTTTGAGAATGTATAAGAACATTGTCTATGGAGCCTCCTCTTGCTCAATGGAGGTGAATGAAGTTTAGTTTTGAGCTACTAACAGTAAAGATGCAGCTGGACAGATAAACAACAACTGAAGTCGCTATAAAACTCTGTATCGCTGAGAAACTGCAGATTCAGCTGAAAACTCACTACCAGAGACACCAACACATAAATATATCTATTAAATCTGCTTTGAGGACACATCTGATTTGTTATTTCATTGTTCAGGATCCATCGGCAGAGACCAGATTCTCCTGGACCCAGCTGTGTGTCCGTGAACAGCGACCGTCATGTCCCTGTTCACTTCAAAGCTGGACATAATGATGCTGAACAAAGTAAGAATCTTAAATGTTTGTGTTGTTTTGTTGACTCTCCTAAAAAGAGCTCTCAGGTAGGTCTTGGTTCAGCACTGTTTTTTGTTAATTAAAAATAATAATAGACTCTTTATTTATTCCCAGAGGGAAATTCTCATGTCACATCAGCAGCACAGAAATGAACCAGGTTCAAAGAACAGTGCAAAACAAATGCAAACACATGAGAAAGTAAAAATATTAAAAGTATGAGCATGCCCTTTTGTCTGCTGCTTACTGTAACTGTAAGTCCAGTTAGAGTCCAGTAGGACCTCAGCAGCCTCCTCGTCCGCTGATGTCCACTGAGACACAGCTGGATGAGTAAAACAGCAGCATTTTCTCCTGTCCAGTCTACCCTGCACCCAGCGGTGTTTCCATGGAAAGTGACCAGATCATACATTTTTATACCAAGATCTGGTATAGGTGTATGAGGATCTGTTTCTACCAGATATAACACAGCACATGTAACACTGTTTGTCATTATATGTTCAAATCATCATATTTCTTCACAGAGTTGATCAGCAGAGCTCAGAGGTTCCCAGTGGTCAGTCTGCCCAGCAGCATCAAACAGACCTGGACTCCATTTATGGTGTGTAAATGTACAAGCTCAGCTACTACTGCTAATTACAGGAGCCAGCACAAAAAGTCATTGAAATTATTTCTATAAATTATTTTATATTTAATTTCTGGATGATGTTCACAGGCAGCCATAATCCATAAAGCTGCAGTCAGTCCCAGCTGATAACCTATTGTGAGATCAGATATTTTAGAGGAAAACTAGAATATGTTGGAGCTAACAGGAATACGCTCAGTCTGGGTGCTAGTTCTGTTTGTCACAGCAGAACATCACTTAAGACCAAATATGAAATAAGAGCTGAGAGAGGGTTGATATGCTGTTTATTTCTTCCCTCTGCAGTAACAACATAACAGAATGTATGTTTAGCTGCATCGACACAAAGATACAAAAATACTCTTTTTCATTCACGCACTTGTAATGAAAGTTATTGCACTGCACAACTGTAGTCCATCACTCCACCAGCCCACTGATACGCACCAATTTTAACTGTGTGACGTCAGTTAGGCTACACTACCACCGCAGGGCTCCCACTATAGAATAACCAGCACCATATGGAAACAGTCCTCAATAACACCAACTTGTTCTACAGAACATCTGACTGATACACTCAGTATCAACATTTCTGTGATTTGCTTAATTTGTTCTTTAACAGCATTTACTCATTATGTAGAAATCTCAGCAAGCAATATGTTTCCTTTAAAAATATTATAGGAGACAGGGCAGTCCACAAAGTAAATAGTGAAGCAGCATTCTGATCCAGTCTCCATGCTGCACTCTGCAGACCAGCAGGCTTTCTGTCTGTCACAGATGATCTGATGTTGACTTCTACCAGTTCAACTTTACATTTTCTTCTGTTCCAGCTGCTCCAGGAAAACATTGGCAGGTTTGTGAAGAACGAGGTGAAGAAGTTCCAGAGAGTTCTGAGTCCAGATTACCCAGCATGCTTAGAGAGTCAGAGGGAGGATGAGGAGGTGTTGGACGGTGAGGAGGAGCAGAGGAGGAGCAGCAGAGAGGCATTTCTGAAGATCACACTGCACTTCCTGAGGAGAATGCAGGAGGAGCTGGCTGAGCGTCTGCAGAGCAGTAAGAGGATTTGAACAGATTTAACATGATGGAAAGAGGAAATGGAGGCAACATGGGAGAAGTTTCCATTTCAAACTCTGCTGTTAATATGATGCACACATTTGGATCAGATCTATGAATTCTTCTGGGCTGAAACTCAGAAACTGTTCACAGCTGATGAGCTGAAGAGATTTCATGGAGGAGGAAAATAAATACCATCTTGATGTCTTAAAGTTTACATTTATCAGATTTACTGTAGCATCCACTTATTAATCACATTTCTTCTTCATTCAGGAACTGCTGCTCCAGTGTGCCGACGTAAACTCAAGTCTAACCTGAAGAAGAAGTTCCAGTGTGTGTTTGAGGGGATTGCTAAAGCAGGAAACCCAACCCTTCTGAACCAGATCTACACAGAGCTCTACATCACAGAGGGAGGGACTGCAGAGGTCAATGATGAACATGAGGTCAGACAGATTGAAACAGCATCCAGGAAACCAGACAGACCAGAAACAACCATCAGACAAGAAGACATCTTTAAAGCCTCACCTGGAAGAGATGAACCAATCAGAACAGTGATGACAAAGGGAGTGGCTGGCATTGGGAAAACAGTCTTAACACAGAAGTTCACTCTGGACTGGGCTGAAGACAAAGCCAACCAGGACATACAGTTCACATTTCCATTCACTTTCAGAGAGCTGAATGTGCTGAAAGAGAAAAAGTACAGCTTGGTGGAACTTGTTCATCACTTCTTTCCTGAAACCAAAGAAGCAGGAATCTGCAGGTTTGAAGAGTTCCAGGTTGTGTTCATCTTTGACGGTCTGGATGAGTGTCGACTTCCTCTGGACTTCCACAACAATGAGGTCCTGACTGATGTTACCTCAGTGGATGTGCTGCTGACAAACCTCATCAGGGGGAACCTGCTTCCCTCTGCTCGCCTCTGGATAACCACACGACCTGCAGCAGCCAATCAGATCCCTCCTGAGTGTGTTGACATGGTGACAGAGGTCAGAGGGTTCACTGACCCACAGAAGGAGGAGTACTTCAGGAAGAGATTCAGAGATGAGGAGCAGGCCAGCAGAATCATCTCCCACATCAAGACATCACGAAGCCTCCACATCATGTGCCACATCCCAGTCTTCTGCTGGATCACTGCTACAGTTCTGGAGGAGGTGTTGAAGACCAGAGAGGGAGGAGAGCTGCCCAAGACCCTGACTGAGATGTACATCCACTTCCTGGTGGTTCAGTCCAAACTGAAGAATCAAGTATGATGGAGGAGCTGAGACAGATCCACACTGGAGTCCAGAGAGCAGGAAGATGATTGAGTCTCTGGGAAAACTGGCTTTTGAGCAGCTGCAGAAAGGAAACCTGATCTTCTATGAATCCGACCTGACAGAGTGTGGCATCGATATCAGAGCAGCCTCAGTGTACTCAGGAGTGTTCACACAGATCTTTAAAGAGGAGAGAGGGCTGTACCAGGACAAGGTGTTCTGCTTCGTCCATCTGAGCGTTCAGGAGTTTCTGGCTGCTCTTCATGTCCATCTGACCTTCATCAACTCTGGTGTCAACTGCTGGCAGAAAACAATCAACCTCCCGGCTGTCTAAAGTCTTCAGAGACAAACTTAAACTAACACATCTCTACCAGAGTGCTGTGGACAAGGCCTTACAGAGTCCAAATGGACACCTGGACTTGTTCCTCCGCTTCCTCCTGGGTCTCTCACTGCAGACCAATCAGACTCTCCTACGAGGTCTGCTGACGCAGACAGGAAGTAGCTCACAGACCAACCAGAAAACAGTTGAGTACATCAAGAAGAAGATCAGTGAGAATCTGTCTCCAGAGAGAAGCATCAATCTGTTCCACTGTCTGAATGAACTGAATGATCGTTCTCTAGTGGAGGAGATCCAACAGTCCCTGAGTTCAGGAAGTCTCTCCACAGATAAACTCTCTCCTGCTCAGTGGTCAGCTCTGGTCTTCATCTTACTGTCATCAGAAAAAGATCTGGATGTGTTTGACCTGAAGAAATACTCTGCTTCAGAGGAGGCTCTTCTGAGGCTGCTGCCAGTGGTCAAAGCCTCCAACAAAGTTCTGTAGGTGGATAAATGGATGTGCAATTTCTAAAACTGTATATTTGACAAATAAAACATTCAGTTTGTGTTCATTGCTAATCCTTTTTCAGGTTGAGTGGCTGTAACCTCTCAGAGAAGCTGTGAAGCTCTGTCCTCAGTTCTCAGCTCCCAGTCCTCTAGTCTGAGAGAGCTGGACCTGAGTAACAACAACCTGCAGGATTCAGGAGTGAAGCTGCTGTCTGCCGGACTGGAGAGTCCACACTGTGCACTGGAAACTCTCAGGTCAGTAATAAGCTGTTTCGTTTAAATCCTCTTCATCTGGTTTTAGGTTCAGTTAGTGAAATGGTCTGTAGGATTTTCCTGCTGACATGATTTTCTAAAACACAGAGTTTATGATGTTTTCCTGATTCCAGGCTGTCAGGCTGTCTGATCACAGAGGAAGGCTGTGCTTCTCTGGCCTCAGCTCTGAGCTCCAACCCCTCCCATCTGAGAGAGCTGGACCTGAGCTACAATCATCCAGGAGAGTCAGGGGTGAAGCTGCTGTCTGCTGGATTGGAGAGCCACACTGGAGACTGGACACACTCAGGTTTGGACAGACAGCAAGAGCTCACACACTGCAGGTGTCTCTATTTCTGTTATTTTATGTCAGTCTACTGGAGTCCATCATCATGAAGGACTTCTTATTCCTCCTCATTCTGTTCAGAGCAGTGAGTAGGCCTGAGATTGGAAACACACGGCTCTCCAGAAGTCTTATCGATTGGAAACCATTAAAACATCAGAAACTTGGATGTAAATCATTCTAATGTGAGACCTGCTTGCAGCATTTCTCTATGGATAGAAGCAGGGGTGGACTGGTAATCTGGCATACCAGGTAAATGCCTTGTGGCTGACGAAACTTTGGGGCCAGTGTAACATAAATTACTTATTTATTCAACTGTTTTAAAAAATGGGCCAACGGTCGGCCCATAAAGCATGTACCGCAGCACATTGGGTAATTTTCTATACTGACACCCCCCCTCCCTCCTCTGCCTTCTGTTTCTTGAGTTGTGGGCCAAAAAAAATTTTAAATTCTTCAGATGGATGCCACCAAATGCGCAAAATAACCGATATGTTAGCAGGAGGAGAGTGGAGGTGAAGCGGTAAGCATGGAGTAGCTCAGCCTGTAGGGAGGGAGCAGGGAGGGAGGGTCATAGTGTCATTTACACTGGGGACGCTGGGGACATGTCCCCACCACTTTTTGAAATGGCAGATGTTGTCCACATCACTTTTTGAAAGGATTTGTTAAAAATGTTCTTAAAAAACTTGCACCAAGAAATGTTAATTAACAAATGAAAATGCTTTGAGAAAGGTTTATTTACACTATTCTGAAAACCAGCAATGCAATAAAAACATAGAAGAAACATCTGCGTTGTCCAAAAAAAGTAACTTAAGCTAAAAAAAGAGCTACTGATTACTGCATTATTCTATTACATTTTTATATTCTGAATCACAGTTCTTGCTGTCTGTCTTTTTTTCTTCCTTTTTAATAATATCAAATAGCAACATATATCACCAATCTTAACATTGCAATGGATACTTCACATTAGGGATACTGATGTATTTATAGCTAGGGGGTACAATAACAGAACAATACAGCGAAAATAAATAAGGATATCACAGATATCTGTGAAGGTTCTCAGAAGGTTAAAGTCAAGGGCAACTGGACTTGGTTGAAGGATATCACAGACCTTTAAGCGAGTACAGACATTAAGGAGCCTATCTTCAAAGCCTTTCTGTTGGAGGAGAAACTAAACAACAATAAAGTTTCTTTCTCAAAGACTATAAATGGGGTTTTTGTTTGTAAATTTGCATTTGTGTTTATGAAATTTAGCCAGA